CTACTACTACTACTACCACTAGTACGGCGACGACGACCGCAAAACGCAGTAGCAACGATCTGGGTCAAGAGCAAGCTGGAGACCATGGCCCTGACACCTAAACACGAAACCAAAATTAACATAGGGGCCAAAATGATTAGAATAGGGTTTAGGGTTTAGGGTTTAGGGTTTAGGGTTTAGGGTTAATGGCTAGAATAGGGTGTTGGGATGTATAGTGCTGTATAGATATATCGGGACGCACATGTATTCTAGAATTAAGCGGATATTACCAGCATTGCATACATCAGGGTAAGAACAATCGCCGGCACAAGCTCCAAATAACACGCTGCAGAAAGAAGTGCTTGGGGTTTATGGCAAAGGGTTTGGCCCCAAGCCCTAAACCTTACACCCTAAAAGAGGGGCAGGCCGCGTGACATGAACCAAACCACCCTTGACTTTCCAAAGGGTCCTAAACTTGTAGTACAATGTAGGGTGCAGGATTTAGGTGTATAGTATAAATATGAGGTGTAAGGTTCCTAAGGTTTCTACAGTAGGAATTACAACTAGCGTTTGGGCAAGTTTACCCCCTATGGGGCTCCCCCAAAAAATAGTAGGATCCCTATTATAAGGACACCAAAATAAGGTACCCCCTATTTTCGGAAACCTTTATATGGGTACTTTGGACCTGCTGGGCTGGTCTCTTACCCCACCCGAAACGGAGCGAGGCTTGGACGTAACATCGCAGGACAAAAGCACTTGCGGGACTGAACTTGCTAAACCCCGTGCATCGCGGGCGTGTCCACAACGGTATATCCGAACGTAAATTCCGTCGCGATTGCTTGAAATTTCAAACTCATACCTCCAGGCCTCCGAAAGATGTAGGTTTGGCATTAAGACCGAAACACTGCAGGAACTTGGCTGTCTAGTAGGCAATACTATAAGATAGGGATCTAAGAATAGAGCCTGACAGCTGATTCACATAATCCAAAAACCCTAAACACCTAATCGGGGTCCTTTCCGACAAGATTGGTTCCTGCTGCACCGTAGCCATGCAAGAGCAAGGTGGAGAGGGGCGCTGAGTTCTCAGTGAGCTGGAGGGAATCCTTCGTCAGGTTCTGGGCTCTGGAATTTTGGGTTTCGGACTTTGGGTTTAGGGTTTAGGGTTTGGAGATTGGAGATGAAGGCTATGGGGTGGGGGGTTTTCTATGGTTTGGGGCTTTAGAACGGAGATTTACTCAGAGCTCTTGGTCAGGGCGTATGGAAGCGGTGATCTGTAGGATCCAGACAGAGGTCCGGTGTCGGGGATCGGAAGTCTTGAGGTTGACTTTTGCTCATGCGTCTGTAGCGTGGGCCTTCCTTAGGGTTTAGGGTTTAGGGTTTAGGGACCTTGCGATTTAGCCTCTAGGGGGGTGGGGTGGGGTTTCAGATTTAGGGCTTAGGGCTTGACGGGCAAATTCGCTTCAGCATGCTTTGGGGTGCTTTCAATGCTCTCACCCCTATGCGTGATATATATATATATATATATGTGTGTGTGTGTGTGTGTTTTAAATACAGTGAACCCTAGACACGCAACCAGAAATGCGAAACCCTCCACTCTAACCCTACACTAGATCATGGTTGGGATAGGTTATTAAGTATGCCCCCCCAAAATAACAATAAAGTAATCCAGCTGTAACAAAACCCTAAACCCTAAACCCTAGTCACAAGCCCAAGTCGGCGCTGGGCGTCATCCAGAACCAGAACAGCATCGCATAGCCCATTCCTGAGACTTTGCAGGGCATGCAGTCACGGTTCCGGGGTTGGGTAGGGCTTTAGGGTTTATATAGGGTTTCGGGAACCCCACACCGTAAACTTAAACCCTAAGCCCGGGTTTGGATTGGGGTTTAGGGTCGGGGGTTTAGGGTTCAGGGAACCCTAAATCCTAAACTTAAACCCTGGCAGCAGTTGCCAGAATCCTCACCCGAAACTTTAAGCCAGACCCCGAGCAAGTAGACTTGGGTTGTTTAGGGATTAAGTTTAGGGTATAGGGTCTAGGGTTTAGGATTTAGGGCCAGTAAACTTGCGTATAGGGATGAATTCGGAGCATGCATGTACTTTGAAAGAAACCTCTATAAAGAAAAGCTAGGCAAGCAATGAACCCCAGAGCCAACCTAAAGCAAACAGGAACCAACTTAAGGCCGTGATGCCTCAAAGCTGCAAGATGCCTGCACCCCCAAAACTGGGTTCTTGTTAAGGGATGTAATTTAAGTTTCCATAATAAGGAAACCATATTATTTACTATAGATCCCTATTATGGTAACTTAAATTAAATCCCTTAACAAGAACCCAGAAAAACATCGACTGGAATCTCCAGAAACTGCACAGGACCCCTAAACCCGTCCCACCCCGAGGGTCTTCGATCCCTTACACTCGCAGGGTTCTAAGTACCCGTTTTCCAGTAGCTATCTATCGATCTATCTATTTATCTATCTATCTACATATACATATGTATATATATATATATTATGTACACATGTATGTGTATACACATATAGAGGTACTTAGACCCTTTGTGACTGCCAAGGCTCAACAGTCTGCAAACGGCGGAAAGCTCCACCGAACCTTGCCGATTGGAACGTTTAGCAGTGCCGCTTCAGAAGAGGTTAGGGCTTAGGGCTCCAGGGTTTAGGGTTTAGGGGTTTAGGGTTTAGGGCTTAGGGTTTAGGGCTTAGGGCTTAGGGTTTAGGGCTTAAGAGTTTAGGGGTTTAGGGTTTAGGGCTTGGGGTTTAGGGCTTAGGGTTTATAGGGCTTAAGGGTTGAGGGGTTTAGGGTTTAGGGCTTAGGGCTTTGGGGTTTAGGGTTGAGGGTTTGGGGTTGAGGGGTCAGGTTAGCTCTGACTCGGGCATTTTACCTAGATTATTAGTTCAGTCCACCTTGCTTGTAATAGGCCCCACCCGCAGTTGACCAACAACCGCTTCTGTAGGTTTGGAGTCACCTCTTCGGACCTCTTCTGGTGGAAGGTGCAAGGGAACCCTAAACCCTAAAACTCTAAACAAGCCCTAATTGGAGGTTCATGGGCAGTTACCAGTGAACTTATATGCAGGACAAGTGTAGTTATAGCCTACATTAAAGTTTTCATAACCCTAAACCCTAAACTCCTAAGCCCCTGAACCCTAAACCGCTAAACCCTGCTCCTTTTCACCAGACCCCGTCCCTCCTGATCACAAAGCGGGCCCCCTAAGAACCCCCAAGCAGGAGCCGGGATGGTTAGACTCGGGATTGGTGGGCTTAGGGTTTTAGGGTTTAGGGTTTGTGGGCTTAGGGTTTTAGGGTTTAGGGTTTAGGGTTTTAGGGTTCAGGGTTTAGGGTTTAGGGTTTAGGGTTTTCGGTTTTAGGGTTCAGGGTGTAGGGTTTAGGGATTTAAGGTTTAGGCTTTTAGGGGTTTAGGGTTTAGGGCCTATAGGGCTTTATAAATATAGGGCTTAGGGTTGTAGGGGGTTTAGGGTTTAGGGCCTATAGGGCCTACAGGGCTTTATAGGTATAAGGCTTAGGGTTAGGGGGTTTAGGGTTTAGGGTCTAGGCTTCTAGAGACTTACATTTGCCAACCCTCAGCAAAACTCTTCCTTATTATTCAGAGCCTTGTGTTACAATTACACTAAACCCAAAAACCTCAAGCCGTGGGACCCGTATGGGAGCTTCCGAAGATAAGGGCTACCTTATTTTGGGGTCTTATAATAAGGGTCCTACTATTTAGGGTACTATATTAGGGTCCCTATTTCGGAAACCCCCATATCTGTAACACCTGTATCAGCCCTGCCAAAAATATTGGTCCTGTGGGCTAGAATCTAAGCCCAAAGCCCAACGAAAGATCATAATGCTTACCAAAACGCCTTTACAGCAATTGCAAGACTCCACTATACTATACCCCAAAATCGCTATTTCAATCATGCAGGTTCCCTACACGAGTATACTGTACTATAATCCCAAGCCCCTTTTCAATTACCCAGGCCGCTGCAAGATGATACTGTAACTTAATTAGTATGCCCCGAAGCCCGATTTCAATACTTCAGGCCCTGATGTTAAGACCGAGAATAGGGGACCCTAAAATAGCACCCTAATTAATAGGACCCTTATTATAAGGACCCCCAAATAAGGTACCCGAATTTTTGGAAACTCCCATATCAGGCCAGGGACTGCTTTGGAGGTTGATCCCCATCCGGGCATTCGCCCAGAGCCTTTGCAGTTTTTGTTTCTTCAGGGAGCCCAGGTTTTCCGTTTCATCGTGGGATATGTCATAGAAGCGGAGCGGCCTGCCAAGCCTATACACAAACCTGTGCTTATGTATGTATGTATGTATGTATGTATGTATGTATGTACGTACGTATGTATGTGGGTGTGTAGGTGTGTAGGTGTGCAGGTGTATAGATAGGTAGGTAGGTAGGTAGGTAGGTAGGTAGGTAGGTAGGTAGGTAGGTACGGTAGGTACGGTAGGTA